GTTACTGTTGATCTTCTGCCAAAACACGCAAATGGAGACCTGCCATTCCAGAGCCTTTCACGGACTTCACAGAAGGTTACTGCTAACGTTGAAATTAGGGTTAGAGCTAGTGTTCTGTTTCGGGTAGGGATACAGGAATAGTTATCCTTAGGGTACCGAGAGGGTTCTTAGCCGTTTTTCGAATCGTTGTTTCCTCCATTCAGTCAAAAGATGATGTTCATTTATCAGATAAGGCCAATACTGTGCTTCACGATTTCACCAATGCTTTGTATTAGTAGGCACCAAACAGACGTCTTTCTGCTTTGCGGAATCAAATCGATTCCTTTTACTTTATACAACTACGCACTTGATACAGCGAAGTTTAGCAAGTTGATTTAAGGTTATTTTACAAAGTTTGAATATAACAGATTTTTTGAACTGGAAAGTCGGCATCCCGAGAAGTATAATTCGGTAGAAGAAGTTCCTTTGTAAAATGTTGTTTATTGAGTGAATTTTTGACACTAGCTCACCAGGTCGTCATCAGACGGATGGGAATCGTACGAAACGAATCGTACGTACTGTTTCGTTCGATTCCCATCCGTCTGATGAAAACCTGGTGAGGCAGTGTCGAAAATTCACTCACTAAACAACATTTTCCCAAAGAAATTCTTCTACCGAATAACAGATGTTGTTTGAACGCAATTGATTTTCTATTATATCGACATATGTGTTGAAGATTTTGCCTTCTAACAACACGAAACTATGATTTCATCTTAACAGACCTTGTTTAGACGTGCCTGTTAAAATTTTAGATCACAGGTTCGGAGTGTAACGCACTTGTGAGTTCTGCTCCTTCGTCTCAGCACCCTCATATTTATTTAAAGTAGCGAAATCAAAAACTGTATGTCTTCTCATTTTATTTAACTAGTCAGGTTAAATGCAGATAGTTAGAAAATTACCAATAATATCAATTTCAATCAGTTTACATGGCTAAAGATTTAATGCCCCAACCGATACTTTTTCAATGGTTTTGTATGGCAATAAGAAAAAAAGACCTTGATTAATTTGATTGACTTTATGTAGTCTAAAATAGGTAACTTTCTTGATAAAGCGAAAATTGCGCATTTGGTACTAGCAAAGTGTTTTAAGTTCCGCTTGAACAGCTCCTTTGTATATTCTCGGCTTCTCAAGGTATGCGATAATACTACTAATTTATTAATCGTTGGCCTAATTGGGCTTGCCGCAGACATGAAGCAGACGTCACAAAACGTTTAAACATTTTAGGTCCGAATTCTGCGTACATCAAGGCATCAACGCGTTCGATTACCATGAAGCATCAAGTTTAATTGCCACCGCCGGTGTTAACTTCCAAGTCTGCCTATGGAACCCTTACGTCACTTCGAAACCGAACGGCGTATGTCTGCATATCTTAGGCTGATGTTATTTTATTCATAAGAATGTCTATTTTTAACTTTCTTTTGGTATCATAGCTTTTAGAGCTTGGCAGTCAGATTTGGAAATTTGATATCCATTTATACGTAATTTAATCACTGTTAAGCTTTTGTGTTTAGAACGCGTAATGTTAAATACATCATGGCAAATCATGGAGTAACATTTATTCCAGCGCAGGGTTCGCTTTTGCACGCGAATATTTGATTCTTCGAATTTTGAGCCCACCAGCAGTCATTTACGTCGAGACATAGGAAAGAAAGATTTGCCTTAGACCATAAAGCAGATTCGATTGCTGAAAGAAGAGTTAAATCGCCTGACGTTTTCAGTGCACCCTCGAACTCGTTGTCAGAGGTAGCACCAAGTAGGCGTTAACGGGCGCACAAGGGTGCTGTAGTTGCTTGGTAACCGCACGACTACTACGATTAACAGTCCCCTTCCCCGTATTCAGCGCATATTTTCCTGCTTGATGCGAGGATTGTTTCGTTGCCCAATTGCTAGATGAATGGCCAACCCTACACATATTCTGACAAGTGCACCCTCATGTGACGTCAGGCCATTCGGATTCGCGGTGGTTAGCAGACTGAAGGCTACCATCGGACGTCAGGTGATGATGCTAAAGGATCCGCAGCCACATCAAAAAGGTTTGCGGTCGTTTACCAGACCTGGTAAAGTTGCGATCAAAGCAAGTACTTCAAATAAACATGGAGGTTATCATATACACGGATGGTTGAGCACGCATTAGCAGCGAGGGGGCGTAGCACTAAATTCCAAGGTGGGGTTCACTTTACGGGACCCAGCAACAGCTTAGTATTTGGGTGAGGCCAACATCTTTGCATTAAGTGGCAACTACGCGAATCGTAAGATGCTTGTGCACTAGTTCTGCGGCCGGCAGTCCATCAACAAATGCAACGCTTTCTTCACCCTTAACTTATGGTCGGGACGAAATTAATAACAAGGTTGGAAGCGCGAAGGTGAACACTGCTTATAGCGACAGTACTGGACAGTCACATCGCCGAGCAACTGTTACAGCAGATATCAGCAGTACCGATTAAACTATGGACATAAACAACTCGGCCGAAGAACAGTAACTATCACCGAATTAGGCATAAAAATGTGCTATGAATACAGGACTTGTTAATCTTTCAAGGAGGAGGAATACATGGGACGAAAATTGTTTTTAATCAATAAGTAGTAATCGGGTCTTTGCAGTGGTTTTGCGTTTGCAGAAGTTTACTAAATATTAATTCTATTAAAAATACAATAACTAAGTTAAGATACCAAAAGAATTGTTGGTGGGATAGCTGCCCCTGCTTGCCCTTATTCACTGGAGCAGTAGAAGTAGACACTTTATAACTAATAAAAGAAGCATATAACAGCTATCTGTGCGTTTTGACCTTTTAGGCGAATAACATGCGCTAGTTGGTTTGAATATAGAATTGTTCTATGGATTGAGTTGTGTACGCCTCGTCAGTAACCACACGGGCTAAACAGTTAACAGCTTTCGTTTTAAGACCTCGACTTCTGAACCAGAATAGCATACGTAAATGACAAGCCTTGAACAAATTCTTCAGGAAGAGTCGAAGCTATAAAAGCAGTCTGGCCGCACCTGCTAACCAGGATGAAGTGAAGTCTTTTCAGGAATTTGAGACAGAGCGGCGTTGGCAAACCCACTTTAGACAGTGACATCGTGCGCAACTCTACCAGACCATTATTTCTGAGCTCCAGCTATCACCCCAAGTCAGCCGCTTAACCTTTTTTTCTACAAATAAATGTCACCACGGATAACGGCATAACTGACGCCCAAGTTATAAGACCGGTGTTGGGTTTCGAAAAACTGAGATAAAACTCTTGCACTGTTCGATATTTGGATGGTTCAGAGTTATTTGTTAAGTCTAGCAGTGTTCCCTTTTATTCGAAAGCAACCTGGTAAATATTGCCTTTAAACAGATGTTACGTGGACATATGGCCCCAGTCATCGCTGTACAATTCGAAACCACACGCCAGCGTCTCATAAGTTTTTCGAAGGACAATGTACTTCGAATATGGGATACGCAGCTGCAAGTGAGCATTCAGAAGATCAACGGAGTCTACCCCAAGGGTCTTGAAGGTATCATACTCTTGAAAAAACACTATAAACCCTTTTCTCTTAGCTTATTCTTCAGGCTGACCATATTTATGCCTAGCTGTTTGACGTATGCATGCGGAGAAGGTTAAATTATTTTATTTGGTTGTCGTTTAAATTATTTGAATAGCATTAGAAGTGCCAACACATGTGCTACTAACTGATTTCGGGCCCTTTGCAAAAACAGAAAGACCAGCAGCAAAATCCTCACTGTTTCCGTGGATCTTGCCACTACCAAGCCAATAATCCAGCATAACCTACGTGATTTATCATTGGTTATGCGTTGAAAATTGAGTCCAAAGAAAGTTTGTGAACCATACTTCTTCGGCCGTCAAAAAACTTCAACAAAGCTGCACTCATCGAACTGTGATAGCACGGGACCATTCGACTAAAGTGTCTTTCGGCAGCGTCTAAATTGAGTGGGTGTCTCTGTGTGTCCCTCTTACGCATCGGCCTCTAGGTTTATGTTGCCATATCATAAAAGCGCTTTGTTTCGTGACCCTTTTATAGGTAAACGATTTTTCGGGTCAGCTATCAGTCACTTCTGAAATTGTTATCTGTGTACTGCCTGTGACAGCTTATTTTGTCAACCAGGTTTCTTTTTGTGGTTGGTTTTTGCTGAAGGCCGTTTCGCCATTCGTTGATTGCGGATGCGTCCTACGACATGAATCCTTACTAACAAACATTATCATTTGTATGTTCTCGAGAGGACAGCTTAAATATAACTTATACTACGCCTATCTCCTTATAGTACCCTCCTGACCACTTATTCCAAATTTTAGTATTTCGTTCCACACGTTAGGATACGCGCAAAGTGGGAAATTTACGTAGCTGGCTAAAAGGGGCGACAGAGGAATAAAAATGAAGAGGTTTATTGACAATATAAATGCAAAAGAAATCGATGGGGTAGCAACTAAAAGCAATGTGCGGAAATACCTATCAACCAAATGTAGGCATTGCCCTTTCCATGATCTCGGGAACTTTGCACTGACTGCATATGGTCACTTCTCTGTTCAAAGGATCAAACAAAGTCGACATCTTTCTTTACCTTCCCTTGATCCGGACGAATCTGATTAAAAAGAATACGATTCGTCGGTCATATTCGTCCATGTTCACAACAAATGAATATGATGTACTGTGCACCTCATATATTCTTAATCCTACATAATATTTATAACTTAAAAACAATACCTTCCAATAAACGTAACATGAACTTGTGTCCAGAAGTGTTTTACAGTTGCTCAAGTGGTTATTTCTACTTCTGTAATTTAATGCACTTTAAATCCATTAGGCTTCACATCATAAATGTCCCTATTATGACCCGTGGCATGGATACCACAGACGGACCAAGAGACGATAGTATTCGATATAACTGTACTTATGTAGGTGTAGGTTTGCTTCGTACATTTTATGCGACTGACAGCCAGTTAGGCGTCCAGTTATAAAGGGCATGGGTAGGTAAACCGAAAATATTATAAACTTACGTAACAACAATGATAAGGTGGAAATTTTTTTATTTGTTAGAGTGACGTTCTTATCGTTTTATCATTCCAACTTACGTACATCATTATCTTCCTCGCCTCTGGGTTTGCAAATGCATCAAAGGCTCTGAATAATCAACTCGTCTGGTAATACGCCAGACTTTCTTTTCGTCTATATTCACGAATTTCATATAAATTGTAGGTTTAACTTCAACCAGCAAATAATATACCGATGCTGTCCATAGGACTAAGTAAACAGTTAGTTTAAAAGTAATCGGCCGAAACTGTCGTGCTTTTTGGGGAAAAAAGTACGACTACCCTGCGTTTAGTTTTTTCCAGCTGAAACGTACCTACTTTCCTATCACAAATATTATAAAACTAAATATAGTATAATCTCATACAGTGACATCGCTTATCTTTAACCGCTCTACCATTAATCTTTTCGGGTATATTTCCAGAGAAGTGTTTCGTCATTTCCTCGGGCAACTGTTTCAAATTTATTTAACGCGCTTCATCAGAAGCTGAAAGTCACTGATCTTGCCGAGTGTAGTTTATCAGGAATTCATAGGCATTATGCAGTCAGACGTAATTCTGAACGTGAGAGTGTCAAGAAAATAGGTGGTGCTGGTGTTTTCCTTAAAAGTTTTGAAAACAATACCACACTCTTGTTGTGGAATCCGCGTAGCATGAAAATAATTACTCGCAGTACCTTTCCATCTGTGATCGTTTTTTACTATGTGTTTATAAAATCCTGCTAGCAAATCGCGTGATTCCCTCATATTACCTTGTACTGTTACCTATTTATGTGTTGAAATTTTATCCCCCTGTCTGTATTACTCTTGGAAATGCAAATAAAGCTAAGTCAAACCGTCTCAATGTAGAAACTTTACAGGACGCCCTTATAATAACTTACAGATAGATATCCCAAACAGGGAAGGACACCTTTGTTGAAAACACACAACATCAACCTTTCCTCCAAAAACTGACACACCGGAGTCTTGCGCGCATGTTGGTAATCGAATCAATGAAGAACTTATGTTGGCTAAGGTTGACACGTTTCCCCAAATATAAAGCGAATCCTAAATAATAAATGCAGTTATCATTAAAACATTCCCTCATGTACTTTCTCGAGTGTGCATCGGAGGGGAGTGTTTTGGCAAAATGTTATCTAGGCTTCCAAATAGACCATACAACTTTACGAGGATAGTCTTTTAAGACCCGAATGTAAAGAAGCACCCGTTTGCCCCCAGGGCGGGATACTATGTGCTGGATGTTTACTGCTTGCGTAATTTTGACTCTAGATGAACTCTACGTAAAAAGCTCGGAAAATTTCGCTTACCGGATGACATCACGTTTAGGATACGTTGCAAAATAATAGGTGAATCTAGATATTTAAGTTCTAATAACATCTGAATGCATTTACTGTTGTAATCAAGTTTTGTGTCCTGCTTAGCGCTACATTATTATCCTGCCAAATGACCATCCCCAGAATTATGGGAAGATTTTAAGGTGCATCAAAACTCCTTTCAGATACAAGATCATAATGTTTTGCATATCTTAACTCGGCAAGAGTTGTATAATTTTTTGCCAAGAAATAACAAAGAAACTGTGGAATAACTAGGTCAGTATGACATGTAAAACGTGTATGTGCACAAACCCGTAAAATTCTACTAGAGGCCTTTAAATCCGT